AATATATTTATTTTCACATTCTAGCGAAATAATGCTTAGGATCATTCAACGCAGATTACAGCCCTATATAGAAAATGAGATGCCACAAAGTCAAGTTGGCTTTCCAAAAAGCTCAGGAATGTTATTTCTAATGCATGATAGATAATTGAGAAAGTGAAAGAATAAATCACTGTGTGCTTCATTGGTTATAGAAAGTTCTTTGAATTGTGTCAATCACATCAAACTGTAGAATGCACTCAGAAAAGAATGGAAATATAGCATTGTGTAATCAGTTAGAATTATTTGCAGCCTTAGAAGCAGCATTTAAAACCACAGGATTTGTCACAGAAACCCAAGAAAAAAACAACACAGACAATCAAGCTACACACCAGAAGAATCAAACCATCACAAAATGGGATAGAGCAGCTCTCAAAAAACTAAAGAAAGACCAAACTATTGCCACACTTCCAGTAGACAAAGTCTGGTTATTATAGACAGAACATAATAATACAAAAAGCCAAAGAATTAATGGAGGATAAGGATACACCCCAGTAAACCGCAATCAAACACAGAAATTGAGCAACTTGATTAAAACAACTCTAAATAACCTGACCAAAAAAGGTCAAATCATTAAAAAAAAGAACGAAAGTACAGGAAAACAGTGGATCTATCCTGTCACTCTTCAATGGATGCCCCAAAATGCACAAATCCAGCATACCTCATCCATTATTAGGGACCCAATGTACAACTTAGCCAAAGAATCAAAAAGTCTTAGACACCTGACCAAGGGAAACAAATATTCTACCTTTTCCCCCACTACAGTGTCTCCATAAAATCAAAAGCCTAAACATAGAAAATAAAATTATGGCTTCATTCATTGTCACACCACTCTTTATATCCATAGATCCAGAACTAGCAAAGGAATTCATGGCAGAAGTACTATAGTACATACTCAACCTAGCCAAAACACTAAGATCGAAATACCCAGAAATAGACCTGTAAGCACCACTACGTAGAACAAACTGCCAAAAAACGAGGAGAGAACATCCATGAACATCATCTAGCAATCATAAGCTATGCTGAAAAACTCTTTAATTTCATAGCATGTGGATAGACTCAACCACAGTTTCAACTCAAAAACTGAATATCCTGTCTGGTTATAAGAACCTGTAATGACAGAAGGTGTGGTGGCTAGGGTGTAAAGGTAAATATACTTTCATACAAAGATAATGTTCATTGTTGGCCAAAACCCAAATACTTTTCAGTGTTAGATTGTATGCCTAAAGGAATATGAATCTAATAATAATTATATCAGAAAATATAATTATGTTTGACAGGAGATATTGAGTGCAAACTGAAAGTTATACACAAATGATAAAAAAACTTAAACAAGTGACTAATTTATTTGCTTTAGGAGAACGTTTATGAGTGAGTGAGATGTCCTAGCAGTTAAGACACTGGGCTGTTGAGCAGAAGGTTGGCAGGTCAAGACCTAAGTATTGCATGATGGGATGAGCTCCCATACTTGCCCTATTCCTGCCAATCTAGCAGTTTGAAAGCACGCAAATGCAAGTAAATACAGATGAACTCGAAAAATTAGAATATTGTGCAAAAGTTCCTTTATTTCAGTAATGCAATTTAAAAGGTGAAACTAATATATGAAATAACTCATTACATGCAAAGCAATATAGTTCAAGCCGTGATTTGTCATAATTGTGATGATTAGGGCGTACAGCTCATGAAAACCCCAAATCCACAATCTCAGAAAATTAGAATATTGTGCAAAAGTTCCTTTATTTCAGTAATGCAATTTAAAAGGTG